CCCACCCCACACACACACACACAACAACAACAACAACAAAAATTTAAATGCAGCAGCTGAAGGGAATCGTGAAGGGGCTTGCTTGTTCGCGCGTCTTTATGCTGTATATGGTTTATATTATATCTGTCGGTTAGGTCTACAAATTCGTGGAATTCTCCATTAGTCAGCTTGAATATTGAGGGCGTGATCGTGTATCCTTGTTAGTTATTGTAGCTTTCATAGTTTCTTCTTTCGCCAATTGTTGACGTCCGCCATCGCCTTGACCTCCATTCGAAATCTTTCATTATTCAGCTTCGGTTCATGTCTACACTAAGGGGCTGTTTGTTTCACAAATAAACAAGAATTGGATTAGGAATCCGGTTTTTTTTATGGATCCCTACCTATTCCATAAAAAAAATTTAAGACAACTTTGTAGTTTTATGGAATCCTTTTTTTTGCATTCTATGTTTGTTACACCCCATGGAAAAATAGAATCCCACTTTTATAGAAACCCTCCAATTCCTAATATCTAGTTTTGCTCAGAATGAATTTTTTTGGGATCAATACTGTAGCAATGACTAGTTCATCATTCAAAATAAAAACACTGTAGCACATTATATTAAGAGATTATACACGTAACGAATTATCAAAAACAACACATTATATTACCCAGTGCGAAAAAATAAATTATCAAAAACCCTGTTGTTAACGATTCACATCAGGCACGAAGAAATGAATCTTAAAATTGGGGGAAAAAATTAATACCTTCGGGTGCAGCGACGGAAATTACTAAAATCCAAGCAACAAACCCACTGAAATCCAAGCAACAAACCCACTGATATCCAAGCAACAAACCCACTGACGGACACCATGAGGCCAACAAACCGACCAAAAACCAGATGTTCAAGAAGGGATCATCAACAAACCGACCGAAACCCACCAACAGAGGAGCGACGACGATGAGAAGTTCGAGAAGGGATCACCAACAAACCGACCAAAAACTAGAAGTTCGAGAAGGGATCACCAACAAACCGACCAAAAACCAGAAGTTCGAGAAATGATCACCAACAAACTGATCGAAAACCAGAAGTTTGAGAAGGGATTACCAACAAACCATCCGAAACCCACTAACAGAGGAGCGTCGACCACGGATCTAAGGTTTTCGAAGGCGGCGGAATCGAAAAACCCTAAAGAGGTGAAAGGGATGAGGATGTCAGAAATATCGCCTAAATCCGATCAAAAGGAGAGGATTTGGGAATCCCTAAAAAAGCACTATTTGGGGGTACTTTACAGATTTGGAAATCTGTAAAAAATTTTTTTAACCAAACTCCAGATTAGGATTCATTTGGAATCCTTTAATTACGATTTTATCACTGTCAGATCCAAATACCAATCATTTTCTATAAAATGGGTGATACAAACAACCCCTAATTCAATCGTTGTGTCTGGAGGCCCCTCTATTTTACACACACGTCGTCATCCTGGTCGCCGTGTGTAGGCCATTTCTTGCCGGGTTTGTGTAATATTTATGTTCAAATTCAAATATGCTAGTTGCGTTTGGTATTGAAGTTCAGTCTAGGGTTCTGATTTCGATTAGTGGTTCGATGAATGTTCGAAATTTGTCAGCTTCTTGTGAATGTCTAGATTCTCTTTATGAAAAGAAACAACTTTTCAATTATTGAGCTCTTATTTTCTAGGTTCTTTAGCTCTGTGTTCCTATTAAAATTACTTTTATTTTTCTAGTTGATTTGTAACCATGTAATCATTTTTTTTGGTTTTATGTTCAAACGTATTGATATTTTGGTTGGCCCTACTTTTTAACTTGGAAAAGTTCTGACTTCCCATGTAAAAGCCTAGTTGCATTGTTTTCCCATGGAGAAAAAACAAATAGGATACAGTTGCATAGTTTTCCAATGTGGTCAACTTCTCTAACATAGTTGCTGCTCTAATTTGTCATATGAGTGATGTTGCTCTCTCCTATGTTTAATATCTAGCATGATGCCTTTGTATTTTCTTTCCTTGCACTTCATGAGCTCAAACTTGTCACTGATTGATTAATTTGATTAATTACGCTTCACATAGTTGCTGCTCTAATTTGTCATATGAGTTGAGTGATCATTTGCTCTCTCCTATGTTTACTATCTAGCATGATGCCTTCGTATTTTCTTTCCTCGCGCTTCATGAGCTCAAACTTGTCACGGATTGATTAATTTGATTAATTACGCATCGCATGTCAGGCTAAAACCACAAAGAAGATCGTGCTGAAACTGCAGTGCCAGAGCTGCAAGCATTTTTCTCAGCACGCGATCAAGGTTATTTGCGCAAACCCAATCTGGTTTTGGTGCTTTTAAGTTTTGTTATTTGAATTATTAGTACGGCTAATGGTACGTTTTATTGGTCTTTTAAACAGAGATGCAAGCATTTTGAGATTGGCGGAGACAAGAAGGGCAAGGGGACCTCTCTGTTCTGAGTTTTTTTTTTGGCTTTTGTCACCATGGGGCCTCATCTTCTTCAGTTTAGTCTCTTTTTAGGCTCTTAAGTTACTCTTTGGTCTTTTGCTAAAATTTGTCTTTGTTTTGTTTGGATGTTATTGAGATTTCGTGGAAACAATTTGCTAAGACGTGTCATTTCGTACAATGCTATTGTCCTGACTTTGTTTCTTTTATGAGTTTCCATGTTATTGTTGCCATCGTTGATCCACAAACAAAGCAAAGATGAGTGTTCTCCATTACCAGCTTTTATGAATTGAAATTGGAGAAAAATAAAAGTTCTTTCAAACAAGGCAAAGATGATTAGCAATCTCTAATCGAGCAAGAGAACGTCGAGGAAATTGCAATTACCATGATTCTCGATTAAGATCTTGTTGAGCAGTCATCTTCAATCCCAGAACTATGACAAGCAACTCAACACGTCGATGCATCCGTACAAGTGCAAAGATAATGAGCCAAAGCACTACAAGCGATACCTTTGCGATCTCTTGTTTGTCTTGCACCATGAACTAATCAAATATTGATACATAGAAAAACGCTCCTTAATCAAGTACGAAAATCATACCTTCTTTAAAATCACGAGTTCAGGAAAATCTTTCAATGATCAATATTACCATTTACTATTTTGAATATTTTATTTATATCTTAATCTATCCTAATCATAATTACATCTTATCCTTATCCTACGAGAGTTATTTATAGCTTAACAATTTAAAAAATAATATTAATAAAATATATAAAACATCTTTATGATATTAGTTTGTTAAGATAAAGAAATTATATGTAGCTCACATACTATAATACATGAAGTATTGTAAAAAACCCTAAAAAATTTTAAAATTACACAAAATATATTGAAAAGTTTAAAATTATAAAAACCATCGCGATGTCTCAAAACTTAGAATAACAAACATGAAATTAAGAAATTAACAGTAGTTTGCGATGAATTTAAAATTTGTAGTTAGCATCTCAATGTCAAAAAAATTATAGAAACACCCTCAAAATTCACAAACAAGCACCCTGAAATTCTAAAATTTTAAAACTTGTAAACAACATAGATGAATTTAAGGGATTACCATGATGCACCCAAAAATATGGCAAAGAAAAGTGTAATTTTAAAACATAAAACTTGGCAAAGAAAAGTATAATTGTTGGTATTTTTTTCATTAAGATATGAGAGAGAGAGAGAGAGAGAGAGAGAGAGAGAGAGAGAGAGAGAGAGAGAGTGATGAGAGAGAGAGAGAGAGAGAGAGAGAGAGAGAGAGAGAGAGTGAGTGAGTGAGTGTGTGTGTGCGCGCGTGTGTATGTAATTTCCAATTTAGGGTTTACTATCGATCCCTTTTGAGCATATAAAAATAGTATAAGTTGATACTGGTAAACAAAAGCAATAAGAATTGATTAAGACATTCGGCTAAGAAATAAAAATTTTAAAAAATATTATAACTTAAAATGATTGCTACTATATAAATTAAAGTAACTGCATATAATTTACTAATAAGTTGGAGCAGGAAAAATACATTAGTAAATTAATTGATAAATGTTTAAATCCATAAAAATGATAAAATATTATAATATAATAGTTTAGCATTAATTAATTATAATTTAGAAATATTAATTTCTGATGTTAATAATATTTATAAAGTAAAAGAATACAAGGAATTACATATAGAGAAACGATTAGAATGTTCAGAAATACCCTTCAAAAGAATTAAGTTATTTTCATTGCAAATGAGAAACTAACGAAAATAAATTTAAAATTCAAAAAATGTCCATAAATCACTTGAATTGGCATTAACATAAAGCATATCTATTAAAGAAGCACCGATTGAGTTGCGTTAAAAAAATAATTTAACAATTTTATCTCAATCAAAAAAGAATTCTCCATGGAAGGTATAAAAAAATAGTAAGTATTTACAAATTTCATACTTTGTTCTTCAAATACTAAAGAAATTAAATATTAATATTATAATTTATGGCAAATTGGTAATAAAAAAGTGCAAGTATTTAGTTTAGATCTTTATGAAAAATAACAGGGATAGAGCAAAAGTAATATTATTGACATAACAAAAACTCTTATTGGATGCATATCAGAAGAATTTATTATAGGAAAAAAAAGGTAGCTTCTAATCTTATTTTAGTACTAAATTAGGATCACAAAGAGGGGATTGTGCCACCTCACTACCAAGCACAAAATTTGTGCTTGGTACCAAGCATACCCATTTTTCTCATATATAATTAACACTTATTCTCAGTGAAAAAAGTCTATATTTTAAGCAGTTTGTGTTGAGCATCGGAAATACATTTTGGCTTCTTTGAAAAGTTAAATAAGTAGATAAAAGATTAACGAGCACAGGAAAGATAACAACATAAAAAATACAATTCTAGCTTGATGTCACAATCAATATAGATGATGAAGCCACTACTCTAGAATTGGTTGGGAAAAAGAAAAATGTGAAGAAGGATTGATCTTAGCTCAATAAAAAATAAAACATAAGGAATAAAAGATAATTTTTTCTTAAATATATGATAGAATAGTTTAATTATTTTGAGTAAAATTAGGAATCTTTACAAGGGAGTTTCATGAACTTTTTTTAGTATTTTTATATGCTTATGTCGATGCTTTTATCATATAAAAATATACTAGAGTTCGCATTAATCTTTAATTTATAATTTTTTATGAAGTCCATCAATGATTAGGAATAAACTTCATATTTTTTTATATCATTTTAGCATACTATTAATCAATCATTTTGTCTTATTGGTATTAAATATTCACCTAACACTATTTTAATATTTTTACTTTTGCAACACTGTACTTTCTCAAGTAAAGCTTGGTTTCATATCGATCAAAATAATAATAAAAATTTAAATTAGCTTCAAATTATATTTGTTTTCTGTCAATTCAAATATCAACATAAAAATTTAAATTGGGTGTAGCACATTTAAACAAACATAAAAAAATCACAATATAAAAATTTAGAGGCAAAAGTGAGCACATACTATTAAAGTGGAACCGAGGAACAAATTTTAGTTAAAAATAAGCCAAAAAAAACTTAATGATGGTATTTAAACACGTGCATTGCACGTGTATAAAATCTAGTAAACTGTAAATCTACAACTATTTTGCTTGGTCGAAATTTTCCCAGTCGCTTACGCAACAACTTTAAGTCTTTTAACTCTTAATCTTGACGGAATTATTCCCTTCTCTTTCACCACGTTTCTGATGAATTGCTTGATTTCAAACCGATTCACACGAGACGTGACCTCTTTAGAAACCAAACAAAGAAATGTTTCTATCAAAACGACTAATTTTAGGTCAAGCTTTTTTTTCATAGGAAAGCTAACTCTAGGTACCATGTATTCATCATCCAATAAAACTAGTAGGCTTTTGTTCTTTGCTTTTTGACCACCAAATGAAAGGAGAGAATTGGAAAAAAAGAAAAAAAAGGGATCGTCGACAAGACATAATTTCAAGGTTTAGTCTGCGTGGGTGCCAACTGTGGTTTGCTTAAGTTTGGAGTTTGTGAAGAAAAAAGTCCAGGGAGAATTCTTTGGACGCGATAATAATAAATTTTCTAATCGCTCGAACTGTCAAACAAGGCATAAAAAGTAAAATATAAAGTGAGAAATCCTGACTAATTTGAGTTTGTCATCTCTCTATTATATTCTTCGACAAAGTGCAAAGAAATTAGAAGAAATAGCTTATAGTTTCTTTCTAATATTTTAATATTTTAACAAGTAAGGAAAAGTATATGTCCTGTCGGCTGTCACATTTTCTTCCAATTGTTTTGGCTAAATTACCGAATTGATATTTATAGTATGACTACTTAATCAACAAGGTACTTAAAAAAGCTCCAGCGGCTTTATGGTACCTAAAGTAGACCCACTTATCCAACTAGGTCCTTTTTTACGCCGGAGATCAAATGCCGATGTGAGACTCTTCACTTGTCTACACATGTCATTTATTTAAGCTTATGTGGCACGGTCCTGATGACTTGGCGACGTTAGTTGAGCCCAATAAATTGGGTTTTGTTGTTGAAATTAGGGGAAAATTTAGGGCTGAATCTTTGGAGAGGAAGAAAAAAGAAAGAGTTGTTTTGGGGATCTGCTCAACCTCAAGCTGAAGAACAAGCTGCAAGGGTAGAATTTCTACGACAATGCCATCTTTAAGCTCAAGCTCGTGCTCAAGAACAAGTTGCAACAGTAGAATTGTTGCTTGCGGTTTGAATAAGGTCAGCTACATTTAAAGGTGGAATGATGCAGCAAAGAATCAGGGGGTAAAGGTATGTGAATGTGGGTTGCAATGCCTGTATTTTACATCATTCACTGATGAAAACCCCTGGCAGAAAGTTCTATAGATGCAAAAATTTAATGTAAGCTTGATTGTAATCTCTAATTTCCTACAATTTGTGTACTAGCGGAACTTGCTGATTTTTTTTATTATCTAATTGTACAAAAAGGAGGATGTAGTGTGTGGGAATGGTTTGGTTATCCGTTGTGCAGTGTTGCATCTGGAATAATCCCTCTTCTAAGAGATGAAATATGTAAGTTGTTAGACCCTAGAGGAGAGGGGGGGGGGGGGGGGGGGGGGGATTAGGGTCTTATGCTAACCTAAACGGATTTTATACTAATTAAAACTAATAACAAGTTATCCTAGCAAGTATGAAATACAACAAGATATATGAGCTAGGATAAGCAATATGAACAAAGAGATATATCCTAGCAATGAGATATATTATGAGATATATGCAAGGATATACAAATTAACACAATGGTAAAATAAACAATCTACAAAAGAGATAGAGTAATATGAAGAGCAATACACAAAGGTGATATAAGATATGAATACAAGAATAAGAACGCCAATGCAATCACAAACAAAACGATATGATCACGGAGTTCGGTCTAACCACTTGACCTACGTCTCCGCTCCTCACATCGAGGAGATCTCCACTATCACAACCGGGTTTTCTACGTTTACCCGAATAACGTTTACACCACACAATACGGTTTTCTAGTTTACCGAAAACTCTACAACTAACACACTCTTGTAATCCCACTCTACACCCTCTAAATTGTTGAACTAGACGTGTCTCCCTCAAGTGCTCGGATACAACCTCTCTCTAGGTTCGTCAACCGACGCCACTCCTCTAGGGACGATCCCCGACTCTCGCCACATACTTCTCTCGGTGTACA